TATTATCACTCGGATTGCATTAATGAGCAGGCCATCATTCCACCTTTTTTGGGGGAGCAGGGGAGTTTGTGGGTTACTCTAAAGATGGAATGTTCGTTTTACCTATAATTTTTCCCTTATCCCCTATGATTTTGGGGGACAGATCAGGGGTTGGAGGGGACCACACATTGGACCCCCCAGAAAAGCTTCGATTTGTAAAGAAACATTTTTTGTAAAGATGAGCCAAATTTCCCCCAAAATTACAGTCTCTAGGCTTTTTGAAGGTAATTCATAGAGTTAAAGAGTGTAAAAATGAAAAACCTGAGCCAAGAATCACACCTCGTTTAATAATGAAAGTGTGAAAGGAAAAACTTGTGCCTAGATATGGCTTGGGAATCAATACAGCGATGCGTGAATGAACGAGTGAAGGAACCTTGGCCTTTATAAATAAACTACTATAAAGATAGCCGTATAAACCAAAAACCCCAGACCCCCTTATGCCGCTATGCTTCCCTATCCGATCGCCGTGCTTCCCTAGCTGGTTGCCATATTTTTCTAGCGAAATGAACCAAAAACCTTCCCAAGTCGGGGACCCCCTATGATCGACTTGCTTTCCTAGCCAATTGCCGTACATCCCTAGCCGATCACCGACCTTCCTTAGCTGATTGCCATCTTTCCCTAGCCAGTGTGATAATCAAAACTAAAAAGGAATAAATACCTGAGATAATCAGGTAGAGAATGGGTAGATCCCTGATGACGCGTTGTTTGATATTATAATTGCAATGTTGCTTGCACTTGGGGTGCTCTAGTGGTTTTTAAAACGAATCCATTTCCTGCACCAAGTCAGATAGTGTTTCCGTTTTATCCTCGCATTGTTTTGTATTACAAATCATAACACTGACAAACCATTTCACCAGTTCATTACACACACTGCAACAGTTCAAATACCATGTGTGTCCATGTTAACATGAATTCTGACCCAATGGCCAGTGACATCACTGCACCATACATTGACGTCATGCCAAATTGTGAAGAGCGCAAAATGTTAATAGATTAGAGAAATTAGTGAAATGAATTAATATAATGGTGCTTTATGTCATTTGGAGACTAAGGATCAAAAGTCAACGTGAAATTATGTGTAAATGTCTATCAGACGATAGATACATGTACTACTTACTTGAGCACCATCTTCTGAATTACATGGCTTGTGTACATTAGCTTAGCCGATAAGCGAAGAAGGGAACTTAGTCTGTGAGCGTCAAATTCCAGCACTTTTATTTTGATATGAAGTAATTGTCTTTCTGCTCTTAAAAATAAATTAGTAAATAAATAAAATAAAAAACTCTTAATTTCAGCAAATTAAAGTCTACAGACCAATGCACCAACTTTAAAAAAATACGGAAATCCAATTCATATTTTGGTAAAATTTACAGGAATTTATACCACCCAAACCCCCAGTGATACAATATGTCCAGACCAATAAACCAGCTTAACTCCAGATCACAAACTGTTCAACAATTTATGTTGCCGTGACTAGGCTTGCCCTTCGGGCACTGCCTGATGGGAGGGTTGATGGGGGGCTCTGCCCCCCAACACCCCTGGGAAACATTATTTTCATCTTAGTAAATTGATAAGGTAGAAGCGTATCCATACTGTAGAGATTAAACCAAATGAATTTATATCTCAAAACACCAAACTTGCCCTCACTGTCTCGATTCCTTGGCTTCTAATCACCTCTTTTAGCATTTGGGGCAGTTGATTGACTCAGATATCAAGCAGGGATGGTTTCCAATGTCCAATTTTTTTTTTGTTGCTACTGTTTAGTCTTAAGAACAACCCAGACTGAATGCAACACTTTAAACAAAACATTTCTAACTGGCACTTGTCAAGTATTAAGTCTCCAGGTTTTTCAAAAGTCCCATTCATGAAAATGAGCATGCACAAAAGATTTTTGTGAAGAACTGTATAAATAAAAATTGAACTATGTAAAGGAAGTATAACAACATCAAAAGAACTTGTTGAAAGAATAAATGTGGAAAAGCAGATACTTATTATTACCAAAATATCATTTTGACAAGTACATAGCAACTAATGAACTACTGCATATTGCAGTAATGAGTTACGCTGTTAGTGTTGTATTTATCCTCATACTGTAAACAAGATGAGGAACTTGGTCTCTGAGCAGTGAAATGTGGTGGATATTTTTGTCATTTCGTGGTAAATATGAGGTTGCTGTAGCTGTTTTGTTTGTGACTCTATTTCTTATGCTTTGTAAGATAGCGATGTCCATTTTCCTCTATCTCTGTGCATTGCTCTTGATAGCATTAACCCTTACTTTATTTTGTAGGTAAATGTTCAGGATACCTTTGCAAGATTGATCACAGTGAAAGTGGTATGGATGGATTCCTCTATCTCTCTGGGCAGCAACCACTATATTGACTTGTTCAGTGTTTATTATTGTTATAGTATGGCAATGGATTGGTATCCACCATAGACTGCTGTCACTCATCTCTTTAAGGAGCTTTTGGGTGGGGGTGTGAGTGCCCACAGGTATGGCTGGTGTGCTGGAGATCGATGGGGAGAGCTGGGGCGGCTCACCCGTCGGCTAAGGCCTGGGTAGGCCTTGTTGCTGCTTGCTGTGGTCTTGCTCTGCTGGAGGATCGGTGAGTGCTGAACTCGGCCTGGGTGCCGGAGCTTAAGTGGGTCTGAGCTGTGCCAGCCACCCGGGAACGAGGGAGCCTGCGGTCCAATAGGCGAGCCGTGAGGTATCCATGGTCAACCAATCAGGTCTCGGTATGCGTCGTCGAGAAGCTGCTGATGAGGACGAGAGGAGAGGCTGTGGACCTGGACCCAACCTGGGGGAAGTATGCCACGCTGCAGGTTGCAGGGGTCAGCTACTGGTACTCCCCCTCCAGTGAGGGAGCTAAGCGAGCGAGCGATAACTGTGATACTCCAGAAGGCTGGGTGTTTCTGTCACTCTGGAAAGTCACCAGTATGGCAATGGAATGATATCCACCATAGACTGGTGTCAATCATCTCTTTAAGGAGCTTCTGGGTGGGGGTGTGAGTGCCCATAGGTATGGCTAGTGTGCTGGAGATCGATGGGGAGAGCTGGGGCGGCTCTCCCGACAGCTAAGACCTGGGTAGGCCTTGTTGCTGCTTGCTGTGGTCTTGCTCAGCTGGAGGATCGGTGATTACTGAACTTGGCTCGGGTACTGGAGATTAAGTGGGTCTGAGCTGTGCCAGCCACCCGGGAACGAGGGAGCCTGCGGTCCAATAGGCGAACCGTGAGGTGTCTGTGGTCAACCAATCAGGTCTCGGTATGTGTCGTCGAGAAGCTGCTGATGGTGAGGACGAGAGGACAGGCTGTGGACCTGGACCCAACCTGGGGGAAGTATGCTGCGCTGCAGGTTGCGGGGTTTGGCTACTATAGTAATGTATTCTGTATTTATTCTTATTTTACTTTGCAATTTCCTTGGTAGCTTTCATGCTGTCTCCTGCTATCAGGGCCAAGATAGTGGGTAATGGGGTCGGGTTCCACGACATCATTTTGATGTATTTAGAGTATTAGATAGTAGAGGGTGAGAAGAAGCCATTGATACCATAATTGTTGAGACTTGTTATGTGAAGATGCTCTCAGTATTCCCCCAATTGGTATGTATGGTCTAAAGGACTTTGCAAAGGATGAAAATGGTAATTGCTTGCTAAAGGACTGAATTTATTATAACTATGGCCTTTGCACTTCTATGCTAGAGCATAGACAATACACAGTGAAGGAGGTCAGCTGTGTCTTGTGTTTGAAACTTTTTGTCTTTCTTGGCTTAACAACTTGTCAGGACCAGCTGGACAATGAGGCTGTGTTCAGAACCTTCTGATGCCTTTATTACTCGCAATGCAAACAGGACTGCAGTAAAAACTCCCTAGTTAATTTCTTGGTTTCACAGAGCTATCTATCTTGTAATTATTATTACTTCTTTCAATTATCCACACTGTAATGTGAGAGTCTCTTGATGTTTTTCATTGCAAATAATTTAAATGAAGGTATTAGTATTGTTTATGAAGTCCCAACAACTTCAGCCACTCCTGGGAAACCTGCAAATATCACTATGAACTAAAAACCTTCCTAACCAGAGGGCTTTGCCCACAGACCCCATCCATTTGCTATATATTGTTATTGGTTTGCCCCTGGATTCTCAATCAATCTCCATGGACTTTCTGATTTGTGTTGACCTGTTTTCTTAATTTCTAACATTATTTCTTTCTTAATCAGATTATTTCAAGTATCAGTGAGTGTAGTTTTTCGTTTGGTAGTAATAGTGTCATTACATTTTCCTGGAAATATATTCCAAAGTATTGTGTGTTGCACAACTTATTATCAACTATATCAGTCCTTATCATGATATACAAGTGTCTTAACTTTTCACACCAAACCACACTGTATATGCTTTGTAAGCATGTATTTAATAAATAATTGTAGAATAAAATTTTACTGTGTAGATAATTTTTTCTATTCCATCAGTGCTGCATGTTTTTTGGGATATAGTCCATTTGTACCCTTAAATAGAATTATCTAGAACCAGTCTGCTTCTTAAACTTGTCAAGTTTGATATCAGTGGATTCCTCATGTCTGATGTGCATATTTAATATTTTTATTTGCTGCTAGGCAACAATGGTGACATTACAAGGCCTGATAGGTGGGGAGTGCTTGAGTTATGATATGGTGTGGGCAGTATTGACTTGCCTAGTTATTCATTTGTGAAACTTGAGTATTGCACTTATGTGCATAACACTCTATTCCTCAATTTTGTGAGAACTGAGTTTGAAAAGACAAGCCATTGTATATTATGATGATGTACCACTTAAACATCAGGTTGTAAGGGGAATGCATCATATAAGGGTTAGCAGAGTTACACTTACTTGCTCATATTGAAATAGTATACATCTACTACACGTCTGTCAGTGCTAAGAGGTTTTCTTTCATGAGCTACTGGATGTTGGCATTATATTTGTGATATAGAAGCATGCAACTGCACCCAGACAGATATAAAACCTGTGTTCATTCATATTGTAAAATCTTTGAGAGAACATCTTGGCATAGTGTAACAGGCATGTTGCTAATTCTGAGTGTAAATTGTCCATGATTCCTGTTATGAATGATAGCAATTGAAATGTTTGCTCGTCTGAATAGAACCTAGTGCTGTGCCAGCTATGTACATGTCTAGCATTGTGAGTATGGTATTGTTTGTTCTAGGCATGGAATCCGTTATTGCTTCACATTAGTATTTGGAACAGCGCCATTAGTGTGACCACATACAGCCCAGCCTATCTGGGGCTTGAGGTTTAAAGTAGTTGGAGTGCCATATTTACATTTTTTTTTTTTTTTCACTGCAACTAAAGAAAAAAAATTAAAAAGCATCCAAGCAAGGTAGATATATTTTTTTTGGTCTCAGCTTCATGTTGTTAGTAGCTACAACATTCCTGGTATAAAGCAGATTACAATATTTCTAGTCTTTTTTCTGTATAGAGAAAGAGACATCAGCCTAGAATTCTTGTCTAGATAATACAGTATAAAAACATTGCTGCTAATGATTTGTCATTCCTTGCTAATTGGAATGAGCTTTAGGAGCAGTAGAGATTATATTTAACCCACCCGCGCCGGGGTACATTTTGTAGCCAAAATTTAAAAAATCCGGGAAGCTACAAAATCGGCGGGCGGAGCTTCCCCGGAGTCTGTCCGCCCGCCCGGCCGCCCGCCGCTTTTGCCGCGGAGCACGGCTCCGAGACAGCATCGCACTGGCGGGCAGCCTGAAACTGTTTATTTTTTCCTTGTGTCTCATATATGTGACACCCGGGACGGATGGGTTAATATGAGTGTCTAAGAAAATGTCTTT